AGCTCCGCCGCTCGCCGCGCGCCGAGCGCGCGCCGCGTGGCGTCGTCTGGCGCCGCCGGCGCCTCCGGCGCGTCGCCGCCCTTGAGGAAGGCGTCGTGGGCGAGCATGGCGTCGGCCGACGGCCGCGCCGCGGACTCCTTCGCGAGGCACTTGGCGAGGAAGCCGCGGATCGCGGGCGACCAGCCGCCGCCGTCGAGCTGCGGGCTCGGCTTCTCGCGGATGTCGTCGAGCAGGGTCCAGTAGCCGTCGTCGGCCGACGACGCGCCCGCGGCGGAGAACGGCGCGCGGCCGAGCGCGACCGCGAGCACCGCGGCGCCGAAGCCCCAGACGTCCGCGCCGCCGTCGTAGGCCTGGCCGCCGATGCGCTCCGGCGACATGTAGTTCGTCGTCCCCACGAAGGTCCGCGCCATAGCCCCGCGCGCGTCGCCGTCGAGGCGCCGCGCGATGCCGAAGTCGCTGATCTTCAGCGCGCCCGCGCGCGACAGGAGCATGTTCGCGGGCTTGACGTCGCGGTGCACGAAGCCCCGCGCGTGGAGGTAGCGCAGGCCCCGCGCGATCTGGAACGCGAGCCGCGCGAGCAGCGCCTCGTCCGTCGTCCCGCCGCGGTCGACGAGGTCCTGGAGCGATCCGCCGTCGAGGTACTCGACCATGAGCCAGGCGCAGTGCGTCGGCGCGTGGGCGAAGGCGTCGTAGAAGGAGACGACGTGCCTCGCGTCGCCGCCCGCGGCCTCCGCGTCCGGGCCCTGGAACGCGCCGTAGAGCGCGAGCAGCTCCGCGACGAGCTGCCGCCGCTTCGGCGCGGCGCCGACGGAGATGGCCTTGATCGCCACGAAGCGCAGGTCCACGAGGTCCAGGGCCTTGTGCACGGCGCCCGACGCCCCCTCGCCCAGCGGCTCGAGCCTACCACGTGCGACGGGGTCGGATTGCTTCACATCTTCAGGCGACATTCACGCGAAAAAACCACGCCCGTCGCTCGACGCTGGCTCGAGCAGCACGCAGCGGTCGACGACGGAGAACTGGTCCTCGGGCCGCGGCCGCGCGCCCAGGCCGTGGCTCGTGACGACCGGCGCGCCGCCGCGGAGCTCGATGGTCCCGCTCTCCGTGACGCGGAAGCTCTCGGGGTTCTTCTGCAGGAGCCGCCGCCGCGGCATGGCGACGCTGTCCTCGAGCGGGTCGTCGTCGTCCTCGACGGCGATCCAGTCGTCGTCGTCGGCGCCGTCGTCGAGGCTCGCGATGGGCCTCAGCTTGCGCTTGCTCCCCTGGGCCTGGAAGCTCAGGGCGAACTTCGACGCCGGCTTTTTTTGCAGCTGGAAGCTCTCGGCGAGGCCGCTGATGGAGCCCTCGAGCATGCTGTTAAAGGTCGACAGCGAGTCGCCGTGCTTCAGCGGCAGGCTGTTGAACGTCGACAGGGAGTCGCTGCTCTCGAGGCTGTGCTCGGGAACGGCGTAGGCCTCGCCGGCCACGGCGCCGGCGCCCATGCCGCCTAGGAGGAGGAGCTGCCCATGCTCGTTCCCGGGGTCACGTAAACACATTCAACATCCCGCATGTTTACTTAGTTCTAAATTCTCGCCGGAAGATGGCTGATGAGCTCAGAGCTCTTGGGCTGCCTCTCCTCTAACCACACCATGGCGGCGACGACCGGCCGCGCGCACGCCATCTCACTGGTGGCGCTGTTGTTCAGCGCGGCGACGACCGGCTTCGCCTACCTCTCCAGCGTCTACAGCGAAGCCCTCAAAAACGAGCTGGGCTTGAGCCAGGATAATATCGATACGATATCGATGTTTGTGGGCGCGGCGGGGTTCCTCGGCGTCGTGCCGGGCCGCATCGCCGACGTCCTCGGCTCGCGGCGCGCGATCGCGTTCGGCGGCTTGTTGCAGAGCCTGTCCTACTCGGGCCAGTACGTCGTCGCGCGGAAGAGGTTCGAAGCCGTGCGCCCCCTGTACGCTCTCTGTTTCCTGAACTTCGTGAGCTGGGTCGGCGTCGCGACGACGGCCGCGGCGTCGTTCGCCGCGCTGTCGCGGCTCTACGCGGGCCACCAGGGGCTCGTGGTCGGCGTGGGCAAATGCTGGGTCGGCCTCATCGGCGCGCTCGCGACGCAGGGCTACCGCGGCTTCGCGCCGTCGACGAGCGACGCGACGGACATCGACTTCATCCTCGTGCTCGCGGCGGTCGCGCTCGCGCACACGTGGCTCGCCGCGCTGGCGCTGCGGCCCGCGGCGCTCGCGGAGACCTTCGACGGGTCGCCGCGCCCCGGCCGGCGCCGGGCCATCCTATGCATCATTTTTCTGTCCATCGTCTTCACGACCATCCAGGCCGTCGCGGACCTCGCGGGGACGGTCCGCGTCGCGACGGCCGCCGCGGTCCTCATCCTCTACGCGGCGCCCGTCGGCACGGCGGTGCTGCTCCCGCCGGACGACGCGGCGGCGGCGGCGGCCGCGCGCGAGCCGCTCCTCGTCGACGCGAAGCCGGCGCTGCGGGGGCTGTCGACGCTCGAGATGCTCCGCGAGCCGTCGTGCTGGCTGCTGCTCTGGACCTTCGGCGCGGTCGTCGGCGGCGGCGTCGTCGTCACGGTGAACGGCGCGCAACAGGCCATCGCCGCCGGCGCGCCGAACGGAGCCGACACGGTGGTCACGCTCTTCGCCGTCGCGCAGTCGATCACGCGCGTCGGCGCCGGGCTCGGCGCCGGGGCGCCCGCGCAGCGCGTCTTCCTCTTCAGCGCGGTCGCCATGGGCTGCGCGCACGCGATCATGTGGCTGTCGACGCCCGCGGCGCTCTTCCTCGGCTCCGCCTGCGCCGGCGCGGCCTGTGTTCCCGCGTCCTTTCTCGCGGCCCCGCGGTCTCGCGAAACCGCCGTCTTCAGGCGTACGGCAGCGCGTTCCCGACGCTCGTGATCCTCGTGAAGGAGCTCTATGGTGATAAAAACTACGGCGCGAACTACAACGTCTTCGACGGCGGCGGGTCCTGCGTCGGCACGGTCGTCTTCGCGAAGTTCTTGGTGCAGGCGTTCTACGACGCGCACAAAACGCCGCTGGACGACGACGGCTACACGTGCGACGGCCCGCGGTGCTTCCCCTACCCCGTCGTCGTCTGCTGCGAGGCGTCGGCGCTCGCCGCCGCGCTCCTGCTCAACTTCGGGCCGCTCAAGCCCCCGACCTTCGACGAGCGGCGCAAGCGGCTCTCCGCCCAGTAACAACGCCACTAGGCGAGCGGCGCGGCGATGTCGCCGCCCGCGGGCCGCGCGCGCGACGACGCGGCGAGCGCGGCCTCGGCGGCCTTGAGGCTCGCCTTCAGGCCCGCGATGGTGCGCCGGTCGCAGTCGGCCTGGAGCTTGAGCATGGCCAGGGACTCCGCGTCGTCCGCGGCGGAGCCGCCGCGGCCGCGGCCGCCGTGGGACGCGAGCGAGTTCGAGCTCCCGAAGGACCGCCCCAGGGGCTTCGGCGACGGCGGCGGGTCGTCGAGGCCGTCGATGGACGACGCCGCCGACGCGACGCGGGGGAACCCGTCCGGCGGCGAGTCCGGCGCCGGCGGCAGGTTCGGCGCGGACCGCGACGCCGGCAGCGCGCCGCGGAAGACGGCCGCGTCGCCCCCCCCGTCGAGCACGGCGCCGTAGGCGCCGCCGAACTCGCGCGCGATCTTCGCCCAGTCGCCGGACGTGTCCACGGTCTCGAAGGCCGCGAGCCGGGGCCCGCCGCCGTCGTCGTCGTTGCGGATCCGCGCGATGAAGTCGACGTGCGGCGTGAGCGCGCGGAGCGCGTTCGCGGGCGCCGCGAGCGACGCCGCGAGCACCTCCTCGGGCACGTCGCGCTCGCCGCCGCGCGCCGCCCGCGTCGCGACGCGCCGCCGCACGAGCTCCTCGTCCGCGTCGACGTAGAAGAGCGCCGTCCGGTAGTGCGGGTACCGGAGCCGCAGGTTCTCCAGCTTCCGCGCGTACCAGTCGAAGTCCCGCAGGGACCCGTCGACCCAGACGTGGACGCGCTGCTCCATGGCGAGCTCCTGGGCGAGCTCCGCGAGCGTGCCGGACTCGCGGTGGCACCGCGTGCCCGCGGACGCGGCGTCGCGGCGCACGTAGCCCGGCCACTCGGGCATGAGCTGCTTGAAGCGGTCCGGGTCCACGTGGACGATGCGCCGCAGGGGCAGGATCTCGCGCTGGGACATCCAGTTCATGACCCAGCCCTTGCCCGCGCCCATGGCGCCGCACGTGAAGACGAGCCACGGGTGCCGCGTCGGCGCGGCCGACTCGCCCGCGCCGTCCGCGCGGCGGAACGCGCCCTGGACGACGCCGCGCACGGCGGCGTCCTGCCAGCGCTGGCGCGCCGGGCTGTAGTGGCCGTGCCACGCCGCGTCGAGCCGCTCCCGCAGCGGCACGAGGTCGCCGACGAAGCCCGCGGACGCGGCCGCGCCGTGGTTCTCGTGCGTCGACCGCGAGAAGTCGTAGTCCGGCGCGACGGTCCAGTCCTTGAGGTCGGGCACGGCGTAGTGCGACACGATGCGCTTCAGGAAGCGGTGGCGCCGGATGCCCGCGAGGAACTGCTCCACGTTCACGGCCGGCGCGGCGTCGTCCCGGTCGCCCGAGTTCGCGCGCGCGGGCGCCTCCGCGCGCGGGCTCGCGTCCTCCTCGTCCTCGTCGGACGCCTCGTCGATGGTGAGGTGGTGCGCGTGGACGGCGACGTCCTCGGCGAGGTGGCCGAAGAGGTGGCGCACCTCCCAGTCCACCAGGCCGAGCTTGAGCTCGCTCACGAGCTCCGCGAAGGCCTCGAGGCCCATCTGGCCGTCCTCGAGGGCGCCGAAGCGCTCGAAGACGAGCTCGAGGTCCCGCTTGTCGACGATGCCCCGCGCGCAGCGCCGCGACCGCCGGCCGGACCCGGGGCTCCGCGACGGCTTCGCCACGTCGATGGGCGGCGGGTGCAGCGGCGTCGGCGTCCGCGTCAGCGGCGCGCGGTCCGCCATCGCGGCGCGCGCGTTCGGAGCCACCGTGCGCGGATGAAGCGGCGCGCGTCGGCGGCTTCGACGGGTGGGCGCGGCTGCGGTCTGCGAGTTTCGACCGTGCCCGTCAGTGTCTACTGCTAATCGTGGGAAACCGCGGCTCGTGTGGCCTGAACACGAACGAACGTTGCCCTGTTGCAGGAGTTTTTTTGGTCCTTGCAATCCATGGCAGCCCGTCGAAGGATGGCCTCCATGGCAGCCCGTCGTCGGGCTGCCATGCTCGCCATGCTCCTCGCGACGTCCGTCCGCTGCGACGATGGAACGGCGCGCCCGAGCCTGCTGCCCACGCCGCTCCCGACGCCGCTCCCGTCGCTCCTCCCGACGGCCGGGACGCCGCGGCCCACGACGACGCGCCTGAGCTCCTGGAGCGACGTGAGCGACCTCGCGGACGCCGGCGGCGAGGGCGACGTCGTCGTCGACCGCGTCGAGGCGACGTCGACGGCGACCGTCGGCGACGGCGACGCCGTGACGATCTCCAGCGACCGCGGCTCCGTGCTCGACGGCGCGGGCGCCGTGCAGCTCTTCTCCCTGAGCGGCGAGCTCCCGCGTCCGACGAGAGGGCGCCCGAGGAGACGCGACGACGCCCCTTCGCAGGCGACCTCACGCTCGTGAACGTCCACGTCACCGGCGGCTACGACGACGAGAAGGGCGGCGCCATCTACTCGCGATCGAGCGCGACGCTCACGCTGGTCAACACGACGATGTCGAACTGCGCGTGCAAGCGCGGCGGCGCCATCTACAACTACGGGTCGACCTACGTCTACGGCGGCGCGTTCCGCGGCAACCGCGCGGACCCGGACGACGACGACGACGGCGGCTACGGCGGCACGATCTACGCGCTCGGCACGTTCCGCGCGGACGGCGCGTACTTCGGCGACGGCTACGCGGAGAACGGCGGCGCGCACATCTTCCT